CCGGGTTAACAAATCTGGAGGAAGATGAAAAGAGAACTGTCAAAGAGGCGATTGTGTGAAAAGCTCTTCATCCACAGGCATTCTAAACACCAATGTTAAGTTACTGTTGGAACATAAGGTATTATGTACGTGGTATGTGGTATAGGAAGAGTGAAGTAAATGGCAGAGGTTGACAGAGGCCAAATCATGGAAGGCCATGCTAATTTTATTAACTTACATAGTGCATAAAGTGTAAGTCTAAAATTTAAAATTACAAAGGTTTTCTACAAATCAATAAGAAAATACAAATAACCTATATTAATCAGGACAGAAACCCAATTCAATTATCTTAAACAAGAAAGGGACTTTATTGGCTCACAAAACTTTTAAGTCCGGAGGTAGGGCAGGCTTTAGGCACAGCTGGATCTAGGGCCTCCAGAAAAACGACATCAGAACTTAGTTCTCTTTCCATTTCTGCTAGCCTCCAAGTTTCTCCTCACACAGACTCTCTCCACATGGTTACAAATTCAGGCTTACATGGTCCTTGGTTCCTAGGATCTCTATAAAGCCTTCTTTCCAGTAGTTCCAGCAGAAGTTCTGTTGAGGGCTCTCCTTAGCCTGGCTTAAATTACATGCCCATTCTTTAATCGCTGTGGCTAGGAAGCTCCGGGACTCAGGAGGCCAGACCTGGTCATGGCTCACCTAAGCCACAGGGAATGGGTTCCCCACAATAAATAAGGGTTCTGTTACCAGAAGATGGGGAAAGAGATGCTGAACAAACAAAACCAAGATATCAACAATAACCCAGAAGAAAAGCAGGTAAAGGTTACAAATAATCTATGGTAAAACTATAAATAGCCAATAAACATGAAAATAACCCCAACCTCACAATTTTTGATAATCAGGGAAATGCAAAATAAGAAAGGATTCCTTTTTCTTTTTAGCCCAACAGATAAAAACTATCAAAAGTAGGTAAGGCTATATGGGGAAACAAGTACTTTTCATACAGTTGGTGAAAATACGGTTATGAAGGCCTTTGGGAAGGTTAAGGTGGGTCTATCAGAGAACAAACCCTTTAACCCAACAATCCACCTTATGGGACTCCAGCCTAAAGAAATATTCACACACATGCACAAAGACATCTGAATAAGATGCTTACTTTGGCAATGTATTAGCAAGAGAAAAAAATAAGGGAATAGTTAAATAATGCTATCTTCAGAGTATTTAATCCTATTCAACCATTAAAGAAATTTAAAGACCTCAGTAAGTTTTTGAGACCCTGCCCCCAAGTGAACTACAGAACGATACATATATATGATCCTATTTATGTAAAAATAGTGTTTTTAAGGGTATATTCATATGGAAATGTATGGAAAGGGGACTAGGAGGTATGCTGAATGGCAAGAAGTGGAATGTGATTAGAAGCACTGGAGAAAAGGGTCTCTCCCTGCTCTTACACTTGTATATCATTTAAGTTTTGTGTGAGCAGTCATTTATCCTTTCATAATTAAAAAAAGAAAGATGGACAAAAGCAATTCACAACAGGAAATGCAAATGACCAACAAACATGAAAAAATGTTCCTCCTAATACTCAAAGAACTTAAAACAAATTTTGCCTATGAAATTGGCAATTTTAAGAATTCAGGGTTGGCAGGAGTGTAAGCAAATAGGTGCTTTTACTATGGATGGAGTTGTAAATTGGTACGATCTTTTTGGTATTTCTCAAAATGTCAAATGTGCACTCTCTGACCCGAAAAATCCATTTCTAGCTATTTATCCTACAGAAATACCCACACAGGTAGCAAAACACACATACAAGGATGTTTTACTATACCTTTATCTATAATGAACCTAATTATCCATCAATATAGGGTTAAGTAAATTACATTATATTCATGCAATGGAATATGTAGTTATGAAAGTATGTAGTTATGAAAACAGAATGTCTGTATTAGTGGGAGGGAGGGGAGGCACGTCTCAGTGTAGTACATGTGAAATGAGGATATGTCCTACCTCTTATGGTTGCTAAGGATTAAGAGTTAATCCATGATAAAGCACTTCAAATAGTGCCTCTACACAGCAACAAGTGTCAGCTATTAACACATTTTTGATTAAATATATATATGCCTATATCTGGAACAACAAATCAAACTATTATCACTTCTGGGTAATACTGTAAAAGGAAATGTCCTTTTTTGTTTTACATTTCTGTACTGTAAAAAATTCAAATCAGCATGTTTAATAGCTTCCACATTTGTTAACTATAAAGATAAAAGCATAAAATTTATTAACCAAGGCTTAACAGCCATCACTCATGGCATAGTGAATGTATCACTGGAATCCACAGAACTAGATTTGAGTTTTAGCTCTAATTGGCCACATGCAAGTCACATCATCTCTGAATCTTGCTTTCCTGGTCTACAAATGTAACTGAGATAGGTACACTGTCTAACCCAATGCCTGACATGCAGATTATTTCATGTATCCCTCCCCTCAATTTACACAAATATGAGACATATTGCTAAATGATCCAAGTGTCAACTAGGTGTGAATGTGGAGAGCTTAACCTCCAAGAAAACCAGAAGAAAATTTAGCAGCAACACACAAATGCTCAGTGGCTAGTGGGCACCTATCAATAGTCTGCATGCCCTAATACATCTGCTCATTTGCTAACCAAACAGACGTCCTGGCTGTGAACCACTGCATGGCAACTGCCACATCACCACTTCAACAGAGGCTGGGCACTCCTCCAAATTGCTTTATCTGCATGGGTATAAATGACCGGATAAAATCATAAATCACTAGTTATTAAAATCAATCTGTCTAGTGGGGACTAAGCCTAACCGAGCACACACCTCACCATGTCCTTTTCCTGTGTACCGCCATCTTGTCCCTTTTCCCCACAGAGCCTTGCCTTAGCCTCAGTCAGAATCCCTTCCAAATAATGCACAGGTATTAGAGCTGGCAAGACAAAAACATATTTGCCAACTCTAACACTACTTTTTCTATGCTCTCATATTACCAAATATCTTTGGCATTTATGAAAAATCTACCACAAGGAAGCTTCCTTGTATATAGGAAAAGTTGTTAGATCTTAAAAATGTGACATTTCAGCCACTGAGAGGTTGCTCCCTTCTTACCTACTCTGATAAAAGAATTCGTCATCCCAGCAGTCTTCTAAATATGCCACCTCAAAACCTACTTGAAAAGAAGCCAGTTACAAATAAATAAATCAATCAACTCAAGATCATTTTATCTTAGAGCAGAGGAATTTATAGCTTTATTGGACAATGACTTGCTTCCTCTCAGCCATAAAGAGAAAAAGACCCAAACAAAAGTCCCTATGTTTTCTTGTATAACTTAAAATACATTATATCATTACTACATATTTATACTTCAATAAATCTTAATCTATAAAGCACATTTCTTATAATTAATTGTTATCATTAAACCTATAAACAAGTTCCATTCTTCCTCACTTCTCAACCAGCTGGCCTTGCATTTACTTTGCTTTTTAGTAGGCTCATGCAAATCTCACCTTCCATTTTTCAACTTGATCCAAGCACCAGATATAACCAAAATCTCTGAACTATGAAATATTTGTATTCGCATGGGTCATTTTCCACACAATGATCCCCATTATAAAAAAGTCTTTTCTCATATTCTATATTTTACCTTCCAGAGTTTTCCACTAAACAGTAGAACCACAGTACTTGGGATTCTCAGCCAAGGAGTATATAATCCTACTACTACAATGTATTACTTTAATACATTTTTTAAAATGTGTTAAGACTAAAAATTAAAAAAAATAGTTCAATCAATTCTGATAGTTAATAAACTAGTTAAAGGTCTAGTTGTAATTTTTTAAATAGAATAGTCCATTCAACTTAACATGTAGGTACAACCTCAATGCTACTAGAGATTGATTAGTTTTTTAAAAAGATTCACAAACCTCCAAGCTCTGATATAGGGTATCTTGGACTCACCTCTGAAGAATGCTAGAGAGCCGGCTAGCTCTGAGCTGAGTCCCTCCCACCACCCCTCCATATAACGCCCTGGTAAGAGAACTATGGCTCTGGGAATCTCAGAGGTGACCTCCCCAGGGAATGCTCAGACAAGAGGAAGAGGCTAACTCATGTGAAACAGCTTTGTACTAAACCCCTATGATTTACAGTGGAAGAAATACCTACCTATTTATGGTAGGATTACAGTACCTAGCACAGTGCCTTATCGGTAGAAAATGTTTAATAATAAATGCATGGCTGCTTTTTTAGCCTGGTATTCAACCCTTTTGTACCAAAGGAATAAAAAATAGCAAACCTGATACTTGTTGCATATCTGTCATGGAATTTTCTGTCCTTAACAAAGATAAAGGCAAAATGATGATGAATTAGATCTTCAAGTCTTTTTCTAAAAGCCAAGACAGACCATTACCCTTGTGTTTACATATGTCCTTACAACATTGCCATTCACTACAAATTCTTCCCTAGTGTTGTAATTTCCACCTTCATAGTTTTACAACTGTTTATTGTTCAGACTGTCTACTTTTTAATGATATATGGGAGAACATTATTTTCATTAGTTAAGATGCCTCCAAATTACAGATAGGATGAGTGGTTTTTGAGTTTTCCCACAGCAGATGACTGTATTTAAATAAAATTCTTGACATACTTCAATTCTTAAATCAAAGTATTTGTATATCTTCCCACATCTAGGTGTCCCATTCACTTTTTGATGTTTTATTGGCATCACTTATCTGAGATCTATGGCTCATTTTACTTTGAGGCTTTTAGCCATCCTTTATCTTCTATTTTCTCAAATGCATATTCAAATTCAGTAAAAGGAACAGAAGGGCAAATTTTTAAAAGATGGTTTTAAAATTGTTTAAGGTGGTTTTCAGACTTTGTAATTCCTATGTTGCCTTTTAATGTAGAAGGGAATGTATCCTTATAAAGAGCATTTCAATGATCAACACAGAAATAATTTGCCTAAAAAAGGGAAACTTTTAAGAAAGGGATAAAGAATCAGGTAGCTCATTATTTGGAAAAGTAATAGAGAATATAAACATTACACAGAAAATTTAGGCATTAACACCTGAATTAAGTTTAAAATTTCAGTTTCTAGGCAGGTACAACACCATTTCTTTCAAGATAAAATAATAATGGTAAGTGAAGAATTTTTACATTTCCCAGTAGATTTTGTGACAGTCAGTAGGGAAAAAACTATCTGTATCATTTCATGTTTTAAATTTTGTCTTCATTTCTGAAGAAAAGACCTGAGTGCTGATTTTTTTTTCAATTTCTTAAACTTTCACAACATTCAGAAGTTTTTCTGCATTGTGTCTTCTCTGATGTCTAAAAAGATTGGAGCTTTGACTATAGGATTTCCCACACTGAACACATTCATAAGGTTTCTCCCCAGTATGGATTCTCTGATGATTAATAAGCCCAGAATTCTGGCTAAAGGCTTTCCCACATTCAAGACATTTGTAAGGTTTTTCTCCAGTATGGACTCTCTGGTGTTGCACAAGGATGGAACTTCGGCTGAATGCTTTCCCACACTCAACACATCCGTAAGGTTTCTCCCCACTATGAATTCTTTGATGAAGAATAAGGGCTGAGCCCTGACTGAAGTGTTTTCCACATTCATCACATATATGTTGTTTCTTTCGTGAGGGATTTCTCTTTCTTTCAAACCTGCCCTTGGGGAAACAGCCTTCTCCATATTTAAAAATTTGAGGAACACCTATATTGAGCATGCCAGGAGCTTCATGAGATTCTACTGCCGAAGGAGTCTCCTGCTTTGGAGCTAGTGCTCCATTTTCAGTCCTAGCATCATCATCTGAAATAAACAGAAAATGCAAATATTACTCATTACCTATTCAGGAAAAAAGGAATCTGAAGAAAAATTTTTTTAAAAAATGAACTAAAAGTAAATAGCTTGCACACATCTACAAACAGCATTCTGAAAACTGGTGTTAAAGTTGCCTATTCTCAAAAGAGAAAAAATGGAATGACTGAATATGAAGCTAAGGAGGTAACCGCATCCTAACAACATAAAGACATAACAGGTTTTATCTGGACAAAACATGGGCAAGTGGGTTATAAATGGTAGTCAGAAAAAAAAGAGCAGAAAGACGGTAGATTGTAAGATGGTAGGGAGACAGTCAAAGTGATGTACCTAGGTCTGGATGAAATTTTGCAATAAGAAAAATAAAATTAAATTGGCCATTTGGAAATCATTATAACGTTCTTTTGCTTTAAGAAAGGCAGAAATCACATCAAAATACAAAAGAGTAAATAAATCTGTCAGAAAGTGGCTATTTCTGAAATGAGCATGACAAGGCAGGTCACAGCCAAGATTAGACTAAAAGCACAACATGGGAGTCCTGACGAGAAGGGGCTGAAGATAAGCTGAAGGCATTCTGTGTAACCCAAGACATGACTATTAAAAATTCAATATGCCCTTGATAAATAAAAATTTTCCAATAAAAGAAGCTTTCCCTGCTTAGTATTTGTCACGGTACTTAGAAAAATGGCTCTTTCCAAGCCTCAGTGAGTTGGGTCCAGAAAAGCCTAAATTACCAACATGAGGTACCATCATCCACCTGCAGGCAGAGGTAGGAGCAAGTCTCATTTAAGACTTTCTTGAAACTTCACGCCTTAAGAAGTAAAGATACAGTTCATACAGGGTGAACATCAGCCCTCAGAAAAGAGGAAAACAGTGGATGATTAACAAAAGGATAAAATCAGAAGATAAAGCTGAGAGAGACAGAGAGAGAAACTGAAAGATTAGAGGGGGTTAGTGAGGCCTGAAGACAAAGAACAGAGTAGTGTGAAGATTAAGTGGAGACAAACCACACAGAAAAAAATGGAATTTCCCAAGTGTGGAAGAGACCAGAGTGCTGAAATGAGGCTATTTAAAAATATGTGGAAAGTTATTCCAAAATCAGAAAGAGCAAAAGTTTTCTACCCAAGAAAATGCCACCTCCAATGATCAAGGATAGTGGTTCTCAAACTTTACTGCACAGAAGAATGTACGATATAACATATGAAACTGCAGATTCTCAGCAGACTTCAGCCCCACCCTAGAAGTTCTAATTGTATAGCACTATCCCTTCAGATGGGAAGAAAAACTGCTGAGACCTCATTCTGTGGCACACCAGCATTATATCCAACTCCCTCAAGGAATGAGTCCCAAAACAGATGTGAACAAAATTTGATTTTAATTCATATAAATATGAAAAAGAAACCCAGCAGTTTTAGGAATATACTGGGCTGTTTCAAAGTATACAAGTCAGTATAGAATTAGGCAGGAGACTGAAAAGTAAAAGGACATAAAACAAATGACAAGCAAAACTGCATGCAAAACAAAGGGATCTGGTCTATAGGTGGGTGCTGGCTCGAAGGAAAGCAAATGCTAGTCTGACATGGGTAAGTCTTCATAAACAAGTTAAAAGGAAAGAAAAGGCTGAAGATGTCAATGGCTAGGAATCAAAGATCTGAGGTTAGCAAATCAATTGTTATGAGAAAATAATCAAGATCTATAGTGTTTCCATGTCTGAGGAATCAGGTTAAGAGTGACACCCCACAAGAACAAGGAGAGTTTTGGACACAAGGCTCATATTCTCTTTTCGCCCTCTAGCCCACAAAGAGTTCTGGTCCTCACCACAGTGCCTTAGGGAATGGAGCTCCCAGGATGCCCACTTGAGCTGGTTCTCCACAGCATCAAGCTCAGAACTTGGTACTCCCTCAGCTTCTTCTTGAGATACTATCTCCTCTACTAGCACTTCCCGTTTTCGGCGACGGAGAGAAACCTGGAAACAGTAAGATGTGGTTCAGAGAAGAAATTCTGATGAGAATCAGAACTAAAAACACATAAAAGAAGTCAAATAAAACATACACTGCAAAGCCTTGGATGGCAAAGAAGCACAGATCATGAGAGGTGTAGGGGAATGGGGAGAAGGCATAAACATAATTCTAACTTAGTTGACTGCAATTAATTCAACAGCTTTGCCTACTGCCATGCCAGTGGTTTTGACCCAGCAAAGTGACACAAGCAGGCTCACCGGCTGTCCAGGGTCATCAAGTTCACTCTCCAAATCCTCCAGCACCGTCACTGCCTCCTCTCCATTCTCTGGATGATGATCGCGAACCCAAGTCTGTAGCTCCTTGGGTAGGATGGCAACAAACTGCTCTAGCACTACCAGCTCTAAGATTTGTTCTTTCGTGTGTGTCTCTGGCCTCAGCCATAGACGACAAAGTTCTCGGAGCTGGCTCACAGCTTCACGGGGCCCAGGTGAATCCTGGTATCCAAACTGCCTGAATCGCTGTCGAAAAACTTCTGGGTCAGGGATATGGTTCCAGGGGATACTTGATCCCTCTTCGCCATCAGGATCCTCCTCCAACTTCACTCTCAGAATTTTTTCCTCTTCATCTGGATTTGGAATGATAAGTATTGAATCTTCTTCCACTGACTGTGCAGACATCCTGATTTACAATACTTCAAGAAAAGACAATCAAGGCAGAATATAAGCCTTAGGGAAATACCCCGTTTTCTTCACAGGCAACCCTGAGGCACAAGGAAAAAAATATATAAATGACCAAATAGCCTCAGAATTTAGACTTATGCTGATAAAGGAAGTAAAAGATAATCTTATTCTTTTTCTGGGTTAAAAATTCCAATCAATAACCTATACCAGGAGCTGGCAAACTATAGCTCATGGCCCAATCTAGTCTGCTGCCTATTTTTGTACAATGCTTGTACTAAGAATAGTTTTCACAATTTTAAATGGCTAAAAAAACCAAAAAGAATATTTCATGACATGAGCAAATGATATAATTTACATGTCCATAAGTAATTTTATTCATTGATAGTTCATGCTACAATGGCAGAATGGGCAGAGGTGGGTAGTTTCAACAGACTATATGGCCTGAAAAACCTCATACAATCATGCACTACACGAAAGATGTTTCAGTCAATAACGGACCATATATACAACATGGTCCCATAAGATTAAAATGGAGCCAAAACATTCCTTTTGCCTAGTGACACTGTAGCTGCTGTAAGACATATGTTTGTGGTGATGCTGGTGTAAAAAAACATACTGTGCTACCAGTCATGTAAAAGTCTAGCACGTACAATTATGTACGGTACCTAATACTTGATAATGGTAATAAATGACTATGTTACTGGTTTATGTATTTACTATGCTACACTTTTTATCTTTATTTTAGAGTGTACTCCTTTTACTTACAAAAAAAAGTTAGCTGTAAAACAGTCTCAGGTAGGTCCTTCAGCAGGTATTCTAGAAGAAAGCATTGTTGTCATAGATGACAGCTCCGTGAAAGTTATTGCCCCTGAAGACCTTCCAGTGGGACAAGGTGTGGAAGTGGAAGACAGTGATACTGATAATCCTGACCCTGTGTAGGCCTAACCTGATGTGTGTTTGTAAATTAGTTTTTAAGGGAAAAATTTTAAAAGTAAAAAAAGAAAACATTTTTAAATAGAAAAAAAGCTTATAGAATAAAGATATAAAGAAAGAATATATTTCTGTACAGCTGTACAATGTGTTTTAAGCTAAGTGTTATAAAAGAGTCAAAGTTTAAAAAATTTAAAAGTTTGTAAATAAAAAAGTTATGGTATGCTAAAGTTATTATTGATGAAAGAAAAAAATTTTTTAAATTAGTGCAGCCTAAGTGTACAGTGTTTATAAGTCTCCATGAGTCTACAATAGGGCTTCACATTCACTCACCGCTCACTCACTTACCAAAGCAACTTCCAGTTCTGCAAGCTCGATTCATGGTTAAGTGCCCTATGCAGGTGTACCTTTTTTTTTTTTTTCTTTTTTTTACCTTTTACATCATATTTTACTGTACCTTTCCTATCTTTAGATATGCAAATATTACTGTATTAAAATTGCCTACAGTCTTCAGTACAGTAACATGCTGTACAGGTTTGTAGCGTAGGAGCAGCAGGCTATACAATATAGCCTAGGTGTTTACTAGGCTATATTATAGGTTTGAAGTACTTTCTACGATGTTCACACAACGATGAAATTACCTAACACATTTCTCAGAAAGTATTACTGTCTTTAAGTGATGCATGACCATATTTACTCTCTGGCCCTTTACAGAAAAAACTTGCCAATATACGACCTACTAAGTCAACAAACCTTATCTCAATAATCAAAAGAATTCAATTAAGAACCAGCCCAACTCAGTGTTTTCTAAATGTGCTTGACCCTGGAACACACTGTTTGCAATTCAGGACTGGTGTTCCCTGACATACTTAGGTCAACTCAAGATTAAAAGCTGTTTTTTTAATTACCTGCTTAAAAGTAATTTTCTTTACAAAATGTTTTTTAAAAAGTTAAAAGATATTTTAAAGATGTTTAAGAACTCCTTGGACTTAAAATATATGTGAAAAAAAATGTTCTTTTCCTCAGTAATAGATCACATGATACTGGGAAAAAATCGCGTAATATATGGAAAAACAGATTACATAATATTGAAAAATATATTACTTTGCATAATTTGCAAATATCAGTCATCCACCACGCCATAAATACATGTATAATAATAAGCATTAATTCCAGAAATTTTATTAAGAAAAGGCACTCTCATAACCACCTTCTTGCAGTAGCCCAGTATCTTGTCCTTACACTGGATGACTCACAGGTTCTACCTTCAGGGAAATTTGTGCTATTTCTGATCCTTTCCTTACTATCTGCACTGTCATGCCCGTGCCACTGTTTACAACACGCACTAGGAATGAACCATGCAGCTAATCTATGTATTTATTCAGGACCCAGAAACTGAACAATTACAACTTAAAACTTACTGTAACCCGATCAAGATAAAGACTAGAAATCATAAAAGACCTCATCAGACAGGTAACACACATGGGTTTAATTAAACACTCCGGAGTGTGGTGGCCTTATAAACCGGGTCGAGACAACAAATTCATTCTTTCCTATTCCAGGACCCTATCTTATCAATGGCTCAAGCATTTCTACATAAAAAGAAATCTCTTCCTTTTATGTTATACCGCACACTGCTCGTGGGCATGGAGGGGAGTGCCAGGAGGGCAAGCCCACGGTCCCGACAGTGTTTGGCAAGGGTACCTCGTCTCAGATGATCCCCACCTCACTCCTGAAGAGACCCGCTGTGTACCCCGACCCTAGCCCAAGGTCCTCCGGGGCCCTCTGCCCGGCACTCACGGCGGCGGATTTCAGACGACCAAAGGCCACCCTGCGACAACCGCGTCCGAGCCACGGCACTTCCGTCCACGGCCCGCGGGACTACAAGTCCCAACAGCCCCAGCGCAAGGTCCGCCCTGTCCCCACCTCCGCCTGAAACGACTCCCAGAAACCTCCGCGAGACGCCAAGGCCTCGAAATAGAACAAAACCAGCAGATGGGGGAGGGGGAAGGTGAGGGTCGCAGAGGACACAGGGGAGGGAGGGCTCTCCATCGATGCCTAACAGCCGATGAGGCCTCCCGCCTACCCCTCCCCGCCCTCCAACTGGTGGACGCGGAGACCGCGGCCTGTGCCCCGCGCCGCCCAGGAAGCCAAGGAAGGTCCCCGCCAGGCTTCCCCACGAGTTCTTGCTAAGAGGTCCGCAGACCCTAGCTCAGCGTCCTCCTCCCCCTCATACCGTTCCCTTTACTCCGGCGCAAACCTCTGCCTCAGGAACCGCAACAGCTTCGCTGTCCACGGCAGACGCAGAAACGCCGCTCGCAAGCCGTTTCCCAGAAGCCCCCGGCGTGGACTGCTTCCGGTCTGCGGGTCCGAGGAGGCGGGGAGAGGCAAAGCCCGCGTTGCCATGGAGATGCGCTCCGGGCGGGGGAGGGGCAGCCCGACGACAATGACCGCATTGAGGCTGTGGTTGGCCTCCCGCCTCTCCTCGAACACCCCAGCGTTCTCTGTTCGTTTAAAAGAAAAGAAAAAGAGAAGACTCTGCTATTAAGATAGTCCTTACAGTTGCACAAACCCTTTCACACGCATTATCTTGTGTGATCCTCACAATAATCTTCTGAAAGAACTAATAATAGGGAATATTTATGAAAGCGTACTACATTGTGCCAGGCACCATCGTCATGCTTTATATGTCGTTTATTTTTCACAATAACCCTATAATGTAGGAACTTTTATTATCCCCATTTCACAGCTGAGACAGTTGAGTCCCAAGTACAGTAAATAACTTGCCAAGAGCTCACAACTTATAAGTGGGAAGCAAGATTTGAAACCAAGACATGACTCAAACCTTTGGCTCCCACCGGTTGTGCTAGAGAGCTTTTATGATCTGTCAGGGAAACTGGATGAGACAGGTTAAGAACTTTGGCAGTGACGTCACAGTGAATTTGCAGAATGCATGATCATCTTCAAACGTCAAGCTGGGCATTTTAAACCATAAAACAGCTGCTGAAGTGATCATTTAAAAACAAATAGGACCACTTCATCCCCCAATTTAAAAGTCTCCAGTGGATGCCCATTACCTTAAGTATGGCATAAAAACTCTCTACATTGACCTGCAAGGTCCCCTGTGGTCTGTTGCCTATCACCCCATCTGACCTCAGCTCTTAGGCTCATTGTGGCCCAGGATCCTCAACCTCACTGACAGCCTTTCCTCCTGGAAGCCTCCCCACCCTTCATAGCACTATTAGAAGTGATCTCATTTATTTACTTCCATGATTTTTGGTTTGTCCGTAAGTGCCATAAGGGCAAGGATCTTGTCTGTCTTGTTCACCACAGAAACCCCACCCACTCCCAGGATGCTGACTGCCTGGTACGCAGGGAACTCAATAAATATTTGTTGAATAAATGAATGAATTGTGGGCTGATCACATTGCTGCCTCTGCTAGGTCACATGTCAGGCATCAGACACCACACAAAAGAGCTCTGTTATTTAAGGTCTTGTTAGAAGTGTAGGTCCAGCCTTCTAGAAGCATTTCAAGATCCTAAAGCTGAGGCTTTTTGCCTCATTCAGGAAAGTGCCCTCAGCAAAGTGCCCCCAGCCTCTGCTCAGGATTTGGGAATGACACGAGTGAGTAGCTGATGGTATAGCACCACTTTTCACTGTGACCAGAGCTCATCTTCCCATAACCACCCCCTTCCTGGCACACCCACCCCCTACATTCGTCTCTTCATTGTAGGAGGCTTCAGAAATCCAGCCTTTTCATTCTCCTGCTTGGCTACTGCCCATCCGTTCCCTCTTTTAAAGGCTAGCTCAAGGCATTTTTTTTTTTTTACTTTAAGAGGTTTTACATCTAATTAACATTAGAAAACAAAAATGATAAACATCAGACAAAAACTTGGGAAGTTTTTGCAACATATTTTAGTTGCAAAATTTTACAAAACCCTTTGGCCGTGATTGCTTGTTCTATTATTCCTAATTCTTTTAGAGATGGTAAATGGAAACCATAATGAGGTTTTCCTCACTAAGTTACTCTTTTGAAGGCAGGGACTAATAAAACCCACTTTGAAACATCATCCTTCTGAGCCCCACTATGTGGAATTTTTCCTGAATGGTGGCTCTTGTTGCCATCTTAAAGATCTAGTCAAGATAGAATATCATGTTCCTCTGGGCAATCTGAATGGAGGCAGCAGTTCAGACCAGTGCCTGACAACCTGGCACGTATCCACATAGGCCACATAGGCAAGGCTTGAACTGCAGCTGCTCTGAGTTTTGAACATAAGATCCTCCTGGAACATAAGAGCATGGGAGGCTTGTGAGCAGCTACTACAAGGGCCATTTCCCACTCAGCTTCCTGTCTTCCAAGGAGGCTGTCATGAGGCAGTTTCTCATTCCTTCATGGGTTCTGATGAGCCTTTCTGCCTCACCCCCCTAGAGTACAGCTGCCGGCTGTATAACAAGGATTAGCCGTAGCATGGTGTTAGCCCCTCAGCAACAAGGTGTTCCACAACTTGTGTTGTAGTCACCTGGCCCCTTTGGTTTTGGTGTCATCATTTTGTCGTGTGAGACAAAAGTTCATTGGGAGCTGGCACTTGCTTTTGCTCTCACTGTCTATGTAAGTAATAATCTAGCTAAATCCAAAAAGGGCTCATTTCTTTACCAGCCAAATTTTTCAACCATGTCTTGCCTTGATACCAAACATGATTCATAATTAATGGTAAAACAAACAGAAAAAACAATCAGACAAATACTACCTCGGTGCCAGAGATCTAAAGATGAATAAAATGAAGTCATGGTTCCTTCTTTTAGCATTACCATCTTGTTAAGGAGACAGACAAGAAAACAAGTATTCACAAGGTGGTGTAGAAGTGGTACAGTAGAGAAGGACAGAACACCAGCAAGGGTACTTAAGTGAGGTAGTGTGCTGAGAGTGAAGGGAGGCCCCCTGGGATGGAAGAAGACAGTAAGAAAAGTTTTCACATTGGAAGGAAAGCACAGACCTTCAGATTTGGTGTTATCAGATTCCATCCAAGACTGATCTTTTCTAGGCTTTTCTTGAACATCTATTTTGGAGGTCTCAGTCCTTTTCTTCAGCTCAAAAGTATCTCCCTCTGGGCACTTTAAGTACCCTGGTTAAAGACTCCATTTTAGCTAGTAAGCGCACCAGGAGTCTTTTGATTGCAAGTGACTAAAAACCTAACTGTGGCAAGCTTTGTTAGCATCCTACGTAAAGCCCTTCCCCTTACTTCTAATACACTCTTGATTTTTTTGGATGGGGGGGTATTGCGGGGACAATGTGTCCAGCTGTAAGCAATAAATTGTAATTGAGCTAAGCTATCCACCGACCATTCTGCTTCCCTTTGCCAAATACACACTTTGCCTCCCTGGCAGCTAGGAATGGCTATGTACTTCAGTTCTGGTCAATCACATGTAAGGGGAAGTAGTTTGTATCTTTCCAGAAATTTGTCTTATTCATTTAAGTTGTCAAATTTATTGGCATAAAGGTGTTCATATTTTCTTAACATTTTTTTTTAATGTCTATAGTGATGTCTCCTCTTTCATTCCTGAAATTGGTAATTTCTAGTTTATTTTTTCTTAGTCAAAGCTTCAAAGTGTGCTGAAGTTTTATCAATTTTATTAATTTTTCAAAGAATCCACTTTTGGTTTTATTTGTTCTATTATTTGTTCTCTATTTATGGAATTCTGCTCTTTTCAAACATTAACATGCAGGAAAATTGGCGCTTTGTCAGGGGCGTAGTTCTGTGAGTTTTAACACATGTATAGATTTGGGAAACTACCACCAAAATCATAATACCGAATAGTTCCATCACTCCACAAAACTCTATCACGGTAAACTCACACATTTGCCACATCCCTAATTGTGACAACCGCTGATTTATCATCCATCACAATAGTTTTGATTTGTCCAGAATGTAATAAAAATGGAAGCATAGCATATGTCATCTCTTAAGACTGGTTTCTTTCATTTCATCACAATGCTTTTGAGATTCATCTACGTTGTTACATATATTAATAGTTCATTCCATTTTTTTTTTTTTTTTGCTGAGTATTGCTGAGTAGTATTCTACCTGTATGTATCATAGTTTGTTTACCCATTCAACCACTGAAGGACTTTTGAGCCGTTTCTGGATTTGGGTGATTATAAACAGAGCTACTATAAATATTCGTGGGTGGGTTTTTATATGAACATAAGGTTTTATTTCTCTAGAAGTGGAATTGGTCATAGAGGAAGCACATGCTTAACTTAGAGGAAACCGCCAACCTGTTTTCTAGAGTGGCTGCACTTTTTGCACCACCAGTAATGCATGAGTGTTCCTAATGCTCCACGTCCTCAACAGCACTTGGGATTGTCTTTTGTTGTTGTTGTTTTGTTGTTGTTTACCTATTCTAATGTGTATATGGACATGTCTCATTATAGTTTTAATTTACATTTCCCTAAAAGGTAATGATGTTGGACAATTTTTCATGAGCTTTTTTGCTATCCATAAGTCCTCTGTCATGAAGTCTGTTCAAGTCCCCCCACTCGTCATTTGAAATTTTTTTTTCTTATCGTTGAGTTTTGGAAGATATATACATACATATGCTGGATACAAGTCTTTTCCTAATTTGTGATTTGTAAATATTTCTTTGCATCCAAAGCTTATATTTTCTTCTCTTAATAATGTGTTTCACAGAGCAAAATTTGTTAATTTTGATGAACTCCAATTTATCCACTTTTTTCTTTAGTGCTGTTGGTGTCATAGCTAAGAATACTTAATACCAGACTATGAAGATTCTCTCTTTTGTTTTTTTCTAAAAGTTTCATAGTTCTACATTTTATATTAGATATGATTTAGTTTGCATTAATTTTAGTATAAAGCATGAATTATAGGCAGAGGGTTTTTTTGCATATAGATGTCCAATGGTTTTATTTAACCAACAGTTTATTCTGTCTCCATTGAATTGCCTTTACATATTTATAAAAAATCAATTGGCCATATTTCTGAACTCTCTAGTCTGTTATATTGATCTCATATCCTTGAT